TATTATTAATGTATTTAGACAATGAATCCCCTACTGTTAGTGGGTGTCCTGCAAGTCAAAATCTGTCTACTGCAGCGGCACAAGACTATCAGGTATTTATTTGGACAACACCAACATTCATTGACAATTCTGGAGAAACACCATCTGTTACTGAGAGCCATGCATCTGGAGTACAGATATCACTAACAAGTGGAATGCCAACAACTCAAGAAGTTGTTTATGAAGCAACTGACCCTAGTGGAAACACAGAGCAATGTACTTTTACCCTTAGAGTATCAGGTACGCTTGATACTTTTGATTTTTCTAAATAATTTAACTGAGTATTAACAGAAATAATATGAAGATATTAATTACATTTATTCTTATTAACTGAAACATTATACATATATTACATCAATTTTATTTCAGACACTGAGAGTCCAACATTTGTGAATTGCCCTTCAAATATTATACAAGACACTGATGGATCACTGAATTACGCCACAGTTACATGGATAGAACCTACATTTAGTGACAATTCTGGGCTCACACCGTCAGTAGTTCCTACTCACACTCCGCCCATTCAAGTAAGCCTCAGTAACGGGTTGCAAACAACGACAACTGTGTCGTATGTCGGTACAGACGTTGCAGGGAATTCAGTCGAATGTACATTCGACGTTACAGTATCTGGTGTGTATATTAACCAAATGATTGTCGATACTTATGAATTATATTCTGTAAACTTATGACCGCCATACAAATGGAAAATTGCGTATTAATTATAATTAAATTATGATATTTTAGACGCTGAAAACCCAGTGTATGACGCCTGCCCATCATCCATGACACTTAACACAGATGCTGGAGAAAGTTTTGCTACCGTGACGTGGACAATTCCAAGCTTCACCGATAACTCGGATGAGACGGTTAATGTTACAGCTTCTCATACTCCAAGCATCCAAGTTGAGTTGGACAGCGGTCTTACAGACACAGTGACCGTGACATATGATGCAGTTGATCCGGCTGGTAATGCCCTACAATGTACATTCAACATCACTGTCTCTGGTAAATGATTTATTTATTCTTACATTTGACTTTATTTTTAATGTTAAGCCATTATTAGCACTAAGGCGCTTAGTAAATGTACTATATTTATTACATTACTCAAGTTGTTTACAATAATAACGCTTTAAAAGATACACAGTGTCTTTGTTTAAGTGTGTCAACTTTAATAACGTTATGTTTCTATTGTTTCTATTAAATTATTTTGTGTTAAACATGTTCGATGTTGTTATTTTGGTTTTGACAAACACATTTTAATGCAGGACATTTAATAAGACAACCACAATTTTAAACTAGTAAAATAATCACAACTTACAATCTGTCTAACTCTTTCTCTCTTCAAGACACTGAAAATCCAGTTATAACTGGTTGTCCTTCGAATGCTAACTTTGATACCGATGCTGGTCAGGCGTATGCCACAACCACATGGACTGAGCCAACTTACAGTGACAACTCTGGATTGAGTACAGCTGTATCCTCTCAATCGCCGGGATATCAGCTAAGTGTGTCAGCTGGACTTGAAGCTTCTGAGAGCATCACATATACTCTTACCGATCCATCTGGGAACTTCGATGCATGCACGTTTACCATTACCGTTACTGGTGCGTATTTTATATACATTTTCCATCATATGCCAAGTAATATTCTCATGATTGTTGTATTGCTAAATTTCATCTTATTGTTTCAATTCACTATTCATGTATTATTAATGTATTTAGACAATGAATCCCCTACTGTTAGTGGGTGTCCTGCAAGTCAAAATCTGTCTACTGCAGCGGCACAGGACTATCAGGTATTTATTTGGACAACACCAACATTCATTGACAATTCTGGAGAAACACCATCTGTTACTGAGAGCCATGCATCTGGAGTACAGGTATCACTAACAAGTGGAATGCCAACAACTCAAGAAGTTGTTTATGAAGCAACTGACCCTAGTGGAAACACAGAGCAATGTACTTTTACCCTTAGAGTATCAGGTACGCTTGATACTTTTGATTTTTCTAAATAACTTAACTGAGTATTAACAGAAATAATATGAAGATATTAATTACATTTATTCTTATCAACTGAAACATTATACATATATTACATCAATTTTATTTCAGACA